CAGTCTGGGCAGATCACTGCTGCCCGAGGAGTGGATGCTTCTACTGCCAGTGCTTCCCAGCACACAGCAGTGCAGGAGCCCAGGAGGGGCCCCAGGATGTCAGCCTTTTGTTACCTTTTTACAGTTAAACCAGATGTTTGTTGTGCCGCCTATAAAGCCGCCCTGGAATTCGTGTCAGGCCAGTGAGGTCAGCAGAGCTGGCATTACCTGTGAGAGAGAGGCTTTCTCCCAGGATCCGTGGGCGGATTGCAAGCCCCGACAAACTGGATCCTCTCCAGCTTCACCCAGGTTTGATCTGAGGTTCGGTAGAAGCCTCCATGTTCCACCATCTGAGGGAAGCAGGAGGGGACACGTTAGGAGCATGCGTGCGAACCCGGGGAGCAGGGCCCGCGGGCGTAAACAAACCTGTCTGATGAAGGAAATGACCCTCTGCGTCCCGTACTTGTCCATGTCTGGCAAGTTGATCTCATCACAGAACAGCACCAGCCACTTGCCCAGCTGGACGGGAGCCAGGACGACGCCGTTGGGAGTGCGCCGGTACTCGCAGTAGTGGTCGAAGGTCTTCAGCAGCAGCTCTGGAGTAGTGGCGCTCGAGAAGTTCAGACCCACAACCTGCAGACAGGACGACACCATCAGTATCAGAGGGCCGACCCAACCACGACAGCCTCCTGCCCACCTCCCGCCGCGTTACCTCCATGTCGGGCAGGGCCCGCAGGGCACTGAAGAGCGTCATGGTTTTGCCGGACCCGGGGGGGCCACACAAGACCAGTGGCTTGTGCTCGGCCAGCCAGGTGTACAGGAGGGCTTCGTGGCGGACCGTGTCCAGGGTCGGCACGACGACGTCTGGGGCCGCCACCTTGTGGGTCTCCACTTCAATCTGAGGCACCTTGGCCTGCCACGGCGACCACTCTCCACTGATGGACACCTACACAGAGAGACGGGGGAACAGTCACCCCGGGGCCCCTGTGCCTCCTCACAAGACACGCTCAGTTTCACACAAATCAGAACTTTCAAGCTAGTCTGTGCTCCTTGCACAGCATGAATCGAAGAGGAGAAGCTGCTTCTAGAAGTGGAGAGGGGAGTCCGAGACCACAGCGAGGCTGCACCAAAGGGGGAGGCTGCGCCTCGGCCCACTGACCTCGTAATCAATGATGGGGATGTTGGGTGCAGCGGGCAGGGGCACGGTCGTGATCCTTCTGATGTACTCGCCCAGCTCTGCCCTCATTTTCAGCCGACTGTCCCCAGACAAGGACCAGAGAATGGCATAAACCAGATACCGCTGTGGAAAGAGAAGCAACTCGTTTTCCATCAAGTTCCCACAACAACAAAGCAGACGTCCATGCAACATTAACCCTGAGAGTGGCTCCTGGACGCTCAGCACACACAGGGCACGCCGCTCCCCTGACCTGGATGTAGCGCTCCAGCTGCTCGATCTGCATGGGGAAGTCGGGGTGGTTGGCGTTGTACTGGGCCACGTTGCGGCAGGCCTGGTGCAGCATGGAGAAGAGGGAACCCAGGCAGCGCAGGCGGGTCAGGTCCATGATGTGCTCCAGCTTGAAGGCGTGCTCCAGGGCCTTGGTGACCAGGCCGTTGGACGTGAAGTACGGCTGCATGATGGTTGCCGCGTCCCTTTGGATCTGCGAGAGGAAGGAAATGCCGCGTAACTCATTTCAAGAGCCTGGGCACTTTCAGCGCTTCTAATCTAGGCCCGGGAGGGTCATTGATCTCGGGAGAGTATATTTTGGATTAAAAAATGAAGGATGAGCTCAAATGACCAATCCTCATCCCTTCATCCTGACGGTTCTCAAAAATCATGTTTCCTGGGAACACTGGTTCCCTCCAGCGACGTGAAATGGCAGACGTCCCTTAGTCTGCGCGGTAAGGAAGCAGACAGAGGGCTCTTCACGCTCTCCCACGTGCCTTAGCTTTGGCAGCTGCAGTGGCTGGGCTTCCTCAGGGGCAGGTGTAACACAAACCTCAAGAGAGTGCCTGCCTGGCTTCTGCAGTGTGTGTGCGCGCGCATGTATGTGTGTGGGACGGGGGGAGAGGGGGAGAGACACAACCCTCGGACCCGAGCTCGCGGTGCCTACCTGCAGCATCGGGGACGCAGCCTCCTCCCCCTCGTCCTCCTTGCCCTTGCGCCGGCGCTGGGCCTCGTCCTCCCCTTCGTCCAGGGGGATGCTGCGCAGCCGGGCCAGGAAGTTGTTGAAGATCATGTCTGTGCTGAGCACGTCCTCACTGAACCAGACCATGCCGCAGCGCGACACCGTGGCCAGGGTGGCGTACTTCAGGTCCTGCACTTCAAACATGATTCGCACCTGGAGGGAAAACACCAAGCAGGTTGAACGATGCAGGTTTGGTAGAAACCTGGATGTTCAAGTTCTCTTTCCTATGTATGTCCTGAAAGAGTGATTTCTATCCAATTTTTCTGCACTTAGTTAAAAAGAAAAAGTATCAATGGGCCCTTGGAGAAGCCACGGCTCTGGGAAGGGGACGCCAGCAGTGAGCACCCCTGCTCATCGTGGCCCATGCTCCCGGCTGGAACCAGTGCCCGGGGCAGGCGCACAGCGTCTCCATGTTACAGACGGGCTGGGGCTTTCCCAGGTCCCACAGCCACCAGATGGTGAGGCGGAGATTCAAACCAGATGCCCAGATTCCGGAGCCTCACCTCGGTGCTCACCTGCCTCCGGGAGAGCAAGCCCTCTCCGACAACAGAGACTCTACTGGACAATGCGCTCTGAGAAAACACCCGACTAGTCAAATCCAGACACGCGTCTGACTGGGCACAGCTGCTGCGGCCAAGCACCTCGGTCATGCTCCGCTCCTCCTTTCTCACACCTGCCTCTGGTGGTCCATCGGCCACTCCCTACGCCTTCGCTTCCGACCCACCCCCACGGCTCTGCCTGGTGCCAGGCAGCCTCCAAAGGTCCCCTTGCTCCCAGCCTGTCCTCCAACCAGCAGCCAGAGGGGTCTTTGGCAACAACAGTGACACTGTCCAGACTCTTCCATGCTTCCAGCTCACCCGGCGGGCAGGCTCAGTCCTCACAAGGACCCAGAGGCCCATGTCCTCTGTGATCTCACTGCCTTCTCCCCTCGTTCTTCCACGCCAGCTGCTGCCCCTTGCTTCCCTCGCACACACCAGCACCTGCCACTTCTCCTGCCACCTGTCCCTTCACCCAGAACGCCCAGAAGGCTCCTCTCACCCCTCAATCCTTACTAAGACCCACCTTCCCAGTGACGCCTTGGCCGCCCCAGCCAACAGGGCAGCCTCCACCTGCCACCAACACCGCCCGCCCTCTCCCAGTGTCCTTTCTGCTCACACCATCGCCTCTTCTCCTGCCCATCTGTCTTCCCAGCGACTGTGAGCCCCAGGACTACAAGGGTTCTGTCCATGCTCTTTATTCCTGCACACTCAGCATCTAGAACGGGCCGCACAC